AGCTTTCAATGACAGTTTTCCGGCTTCCTGTGTTCTTTAGGCAGAGGGATGCCTTGTTCTATCCTGGTTGGGCTTTTGGCTTGCCCATTTGGATAACCAGAATTCCCATTTCGCTGGCGGAATCTTTTTTATGGACAGCCATAACATATTACACCATAGGATTTGCACCTGCTCCTAGTAGGTAAGTTGTAATTTTTTCTCACATTGTTGTCACAAGTTTTAGCTTTGTGATGCTAAATAAATGACGAAAAACAAAACAATTTTGTGGTGGTGGAGCTTCTGTCTGACATATGTCCAATATTATCAGGTTCTTCAAACAGTTCTTGGCTTTCTTTGGTATACATCAGATGGCAGTCTCCCTCTTCCGTTTCATTGCTGGCCTTGGTAGAAGTGAGGTTGTTTCGGGCACACTCGGTTCCTTTTCACTGCTGTTGGTTTTTATTCTAGGAGGTTACATTGTTGCTAAAGGTTAGAATCCTTCCCTGTTTACTGTCAGAGTATTTTGTTTCAAAGTAAGCTACTGTTTAGATCAATTTTCCTGCTAGATTTTTTCATATGTTTTGAAATGTTCAACATATTCTCATTTTTCTGTGCAGATGATATTGAACCATGGATGATATGGGGATACTATGTTTCACCTATGATGTATGGACAAAATGCAATTGCTATCAATGAATTTCTTGACGACAGATGGAGCACTGTAATTTCTCTTAAATCTCTCTCAACTAAATTCTCACTCTACATTAACAATTATAATTTTGAGTTTTACATTCAGGTTCAACTAGTGTTTTAGCTTAATCAGACTTTTTTTATCCCATGGCGCAGCCTTTGAATAACTCCCGTATGCCCACTGTGGGAAAGACCATTCTCAGGGAGAGAGGCCTGTATACAGAGGAATATTGGTATTGGATTTGTATTGGGGCACTCTTCGCGTTTTCAGTTCTTTTTAATGTTCTTTTCATTGCATCACTCACCTTCTTAAACCGTAAGTAAACAATTCATTTATTTTCCTTGGACTATTGTTATGGTAATATGGATTGAAACATTAATTATTTCTTTTTCTTTTTGTGACTCAATTTTAGCTCTTGGCGAAACCAAAACTCTGATCGAGAATGATGACTCTGAAACAAAGAGGAAACAGCAATTGTCCAATTCAGAAGGTTCAAATATTATACATCTTGTGGATCTTAACTTGGATGGTTTCACTGTTTCTGCAAGATGGGATGCGTTTCATATGTTTGATAACGAATTACTTCAGCCTTTGCTAGCTGCAAATTCTAGTTACCACTTGCATATTTTTCTTTGGTGTCATCACATTGTGGTTGTAGTACAAATTCTACTGCAGAAACCTTACATATCGTGTGGCAGATTAGCTAACAAAATAATTTATTTGTCTCATATATGACGAACAATTACAGGTATTGATATGCAAGTTCGAAATGCTCAAGGAAGTACTAGTTCAAATGTTAATGTTGCAAGCGGTCAAGCCAAACGAGGAATGGTTATGCCCTTCCAGCCCCTTTCACTTGCTTTCAACCATGTCAATTACTATGTGGATATGCCTGTGGTAAGTCTCTTTTTCTTTTTGCTCCACTGAGCTTTATATTTCTAGAGTTATTATATGATAACTTATCAAAAGAAAAGCTAACTAGAGTTATAAACTGGAAGAACATTGTTTCATCTTTCACAGTAGTTACTTTCTATTAACCGTTGACATGAATTTGTGTCTAAGAAACTATGACCTTGATTTATTGATAACAAACACTGTTCTGTGTCAAATATGATTCTTGGTAGTAACGATTTTTTGTGCTTTTCAGGAAATGAAGAGTGAAGGGATTGAAGAGACTCGACTGCAACTACTTCGAGATGTTAGTGGTGCATTTAGGCCGGGTATTCTGACTGCATTGGTTGGTGTTAGTGGTGCTGGAAAAACCACCTTGATGGATGTCTTAGCTGGAAGAAAGACTGGCGGGTACATTGAAGGAAGTATTAGTATCTCTGGATACCCAAAGAACCAAGCCACATTTACTCGGGTCAGCGGTTACTGTGAACAGAATGACATTCATTCACCATATGTTACTGTTTATGAATCTCTCGTATACTCTGCCTGGCTGCGTCTTTCGAGGGATGCTACGAAGGATAAACGAAAGGCATGTTTTTTATTTAACAACCTCAATATTTAGCTGTTCCAACGTTTAGTTTCTGACTACATGTCACTGAACTGACAATCATATTGCTCCATATAAGAACGGGATGAGATGGATGATGTAGCTGACTTTGATTTTCTTCTTTTGTTCTTTAGATGTTTGTTGATGAGGTTATGGATTTGGTCGAGCTTAATCCGTTGAGGAATTCTTTAGTTGGACTGCCAGGAGTTGATGGACTTTCAACTGAGCAGAGAAAGAGGCTCACTATTGCTGTAGAGTTGGTTGCAAATCCATCCATCATCTTTATGGATGAGCCAACATCAGGCCTTGATGCTAGAGCAGCCGCTATTGTTATGCGTGCTGTAAGAAACACTGTCGATACAGGACGAACTGTTGTATGCACAATTCACCAACCGAGTATTGACATTTTTGAAGCTTTTGATGAGGTAGGAACAATTAATACAATTTATTGAATTTGTAATGTTGTCATTTCATGTACCATATTTATATTTTTTTTCCTTGCAGCTTTTCTTAATGAAAAGAGGAGGACAGGTGATTTATGCTGGACCTCTTGGTCATCAGTCTCATGAGCTTGTTGAATATTTTGAGGTAACTTTATACTTTACTCTAAACAAATTATACTGGAACTGAATTTAGTTAGCCCTTTTTTTCCTAAATTTTCTTAGGTTAGCCCTAACTTACTCTATCTCCTAACGACGCATTTAGACTCTGGTGCATATTGTTGAATATATTAATGATTGAATCCTCCATCTCAATGCAATTCTATGATCTTATCCAGCAAGAAATATTATCCTTGGACCCATGAGTTTTAGAGTTACAAAGTTTGAATAATATCTTAATCCTCTTGCAGGCTATCCCTGGAGTTCCCAAGATCAAAGAAGGCTACAATCCTGCTACCTGGATGTTAGACGTCAGCTCTGCTGCAGTTGAGGCTCAAAATAACATTGACTTTGCAGAAGTATATGCAAACTCTGAGCTCTACAGGTAAGCAAGATGTATTGTATTCAATTGATTTCTATTTTCTTTTTCCCACAAACTGCTTCTTTGTATGCACAAAAATTCTTCAACAATTATTTTGAATTGTTCAGGAGAAATCAGGAACTTATCAAGGAACTAAACATTCCACTACCAGGCTCCAATGACCTTCACTTTCCCACCCAATTTTCTCAAAGTTTCATAGTTCAATGCAAGGCTTGCTTTTGGAAACAACACTGGTCATACTGGAGAAACTCGCGATACAATGCCATTAGGTTTTTCATGACGGCTGTCATTGGCATAATCTTTGGTGTAATCTTCTGGAGCAAAGGAGACTCGCTGTAAGTTTAAGAACTTCATTATGAGCTACATTTTTTGTTAATATCTTCCTTTGAATTTGTGATTATATGATTTAAGTTGCATGTTTTGTTCAATCACTTATACTAATTTTATCTTGTAAACAGACATAAACAACAAGACCTGATCAATCTTTTGGGAGCTACCTATTCTGCTGTTCTTTTCCTTGGAGCTGGCAATGCTTCTGCTGTGCAATCCGTGATTGCAATTGAGAGAACAGTTTTCTACCGTGAAAGAGCAGCGGGAATGTATTCAGAGTTGCCTTATGCATTTGCACAGGTAAGAATACTGGAAATTATACTCGGTTATGCGTTCGTTTTTCATATCATTAAAATCTCATTATTGATGCATCTTTTGGTGTTATAGGTGGCTATTGAGACAATTTACGTTGCAATCCAAACCTTTATGTACTCGTGTATTCTGTATTCTATGATTGGGTACACTTGGAAGGTAGAAAAGTTTTTGTACTTCTACTACTTCGTATTCATGTGCTTTACCTACTTCACAATGAACGGAATGATGATGGTTGCACTAACTCCTAACCATCAAATTGCTGTAATCGTTTCGTCTTTTTTCACGAACTTCTGGAACTTGTTCTCTGGTTTTCTCATTGCCAGGCCGGTATGTCATTTGAAACTCAGTTATTCTTCTTATTTTCATGTCTTGAGAATGTTAAACAGATGTTCAAATTTCTAAGGAACCCAGTTCGAGTCGTCGTCTTAATTTATCGTTGCAAGCATAATAACAATTCATGCTTAATTTTGCAGCTAATTCCAGTGTGGTGGAGGTGGTACTACTGGGGGTCTCCAATTGCTTGGACAATCTATGGCATCATGGCATCTCAATTTGGTGACAATAAGACCTTTATTGATACTCCTGAAGGATCTCAGAGAGTGGATCTATACCTTAAGAACAATCTAGGTTATGAACATGACTTTGTAGTACCTGTGTTCTTCGCTCATATAGGTTGGGTCCTGCTCTTCTTCTTTGTCTTTGCCTATGGTATCAAGTTCCTTAACTTCCAAAAGAGATAAACAACTTCACTCTGCAGCTGAGCTGAGTAACCTTCAGGATGTCAAATACATTTTTTCAGGGTAAAATTAGCATAGTAGTGAGTCAGAGAGAAGAAATCTCATCACTACTCTTTTTGTCTTTTTTATATATACATTTTGTAATTTTGATTGGCTTGGACAGCTTTTCCCTATTAATTTGTATAATCAATTTTATTCTTCAATATCTAATAAAAAGCCTTGTGATTTGTTCTTTTTAATATGAAAATACTGGTTATGCTCTTCATTATCACTTAGGGTGTGAAAGTATGATGAATAAAAGGATCTACACCAAAAGCTCTTCACTTGAAAGACATAGAATAATCTGGTCTAATATACATCAGATTTTGGTTGATAAGGATTGATACTGAGATGGCCATCCAATCAACCAAACAGAAAAACAACAGATTTTGACCTAAGCTACTGAAAAACATAAAATTACAGATGAAGACTAGAAATTAAGATTTAACTCGGAATGAGGCTGATGTTGTGGGTCTTGTAGCAACATGGTTTCAAGAGGCGCCAAAAATTCACTCAAGTCTTTGTCACAGAACTGCAAATCTTCTTGCATCAACCCAATCTCACAATCAGTCAACAGCAACCTAATGTCATCATGCTCATCATCAGTAATATGATTAGTACTCTGAGGTTGCACATCATCTTCCATTGCACTATTATCATTTTGATCTTCATCACCCAATACCCAACTGAGAAAATCATAAATAGTATCCACAGTTGGCTCATAATCATCAAGATTATCACAAAACTGCATATCATCTTCCATCAACCCAATCTCACAATCACTCAATAGCAACTTCATATCATCATCACTAATTTCCACACTTGGCACAGAAGGTGATTGCGGCTGCAGCTGCTCTTGTGGTTCTTCTGGCAATTCAAGATCATAAAGTTGCAGATAATCTTCCGTTAGACCAATATCATTACGATCATCATTACCCAATACCAAACTGAGATCATCATAGCATCCACAGTTGGCTCATGAATTGATGAAAGATAATCTTGCTGAAATTGACCAATTAAATTGGGTTTGGGTGTGGGTATGACGACATTACCTGGATCAAGATTCAAATTAATCTCACCAATTAAATTGGGTTTGGGTGTGGGTATGACGAGATCACCTGGATCAAGATTCAAATTAATCTGATCAATTAAATTGGGTTTGGGTGTGGGTATGACGAGATCAGTCGGATGAAGATTCAAATTAAGATTAAGAGATGATTGTTGTTGTTGATCTGCTGCATCTGGTTCCATGATATTCTTGTACAAGTCCATGAAACTGCACTTTCCGTCATCCCTCATCATCATCATCTTCATCTTCATCTTCATCGTCACAGCTCCGATCCTCTCATTCAAAGACTCCAACTTGGCCCCCAAGCAATTATCTTGAATACCCAAATCCCGATTTTCTCGGTCATCAACAATTTCCAAGAAACCCTTTTCGACGGAGAACGGACCCTTTTCAATTCGATCTTTGAAACCCCTCTTCAGATTCTTGTACTTGAGTTATTTCAAATCTTGTTGGTTTTCCGGCCAAGCGTTGATCTTGCCGTCGGCACCAACAGCGATCATGTAAACGGCAATATCGCACAGCTTCGAAAGTTGGCCGGCCTTATTCTTCAGAGTGGAGCCTCTCTTGGCCATGGCAGTTTTCTGAGGCTTCATAGCATCAGAGACCCTTTTCATCTTCATGGACGCTGAAACCCTAGGGTTTGATTTAGGAAGAGCCATAAATCAATAAATCAATTTGGAGTGGAAATTAATTGTATAGCAGAGAGATTAGCAATGCAGTCAGTGCGATTAATTAGCGACTGATCAAAACTTGTAGAGAATGGCAGTGAAAGGTAGCGAATGTAGCGATGGTGAGAAATGACAGCGTGAGCGAGGAAGGTGAGGGTATGGCGGTATTTATATAATTTGTGATGGGGTATAGTTGGTATTACGAGGAAAGTAACCGTTACGCGGAAAGTAGTAGATCATCACACTAACGGTATTACAATAAATACAGTATTTTATTGTCTTATTTTATTTTGTAGAGTTTTGTTTTTTTCCTCTTTGCAATTGAATAAAAACAAAAATTTGTTTGTAGCTTTCTTTTTGCTTAACAATTTGTTTGTCGAACTCTTTCTTATTGTAGATGCATTAGTTATAAAGCGTAACTCTTTTGGTCGAGGTAGTAGAATTAGAGTGCTGCTAAACGAATCCTAAAATTAACTGAATACATCATACTACCAAACTATTTATTAAATTACTAATTTATCTTAATATAAAATGATCAAAAAGGATGTTTCGTATTGGTTGATGCCCACAAACAACACATCGAACATTGCCGAAGACACAAGGAGGTGTCGTTAAATGTTCGAAGGCGCAAAGAGGTGGGTTATAATACCGACGCTCATTTCCATCCCTTGTTTGAAGAAGATTTGTGTAGCAGTACAAGTTCAACGCCACAAAAAGAACAAACCCCCTGAGGTTGACTTCAGATTCCTATGCTTTGATATTCTTGTAATTTCAAGTTTTGTAGTTATAATATCTTCAATAATAGTAATAATTTTATTAATCTGTTTATTCATGGGATCATGAAATAGTCATCTAAGATTTTAATATGTAAAGACAAATATTCTTTTGGAGTTCTGACCACAAAACTTTATAACGAATCAATGAATGGTTTCTTGCTCAGTAAAATAAGTGTAGAACACTTTCATTTTATCATGTTTAGGCCTAATTTCGGCTCATCAACCCATCTAGCTATTGGGTTATTTTTAACAAAATAAACTTGGGCTCTATTTGCCAAAATTGGAAAATAGTCCAGGTCATTTCAAAGAAGGAGGGTTAAAATAAACCAATTACCCAAAGTAATTTTCACAGGATAGATTTTAATTACTACCAATGGTGATTTAATCTAATACCCAAATTTAATTAGTTTATTTTTTACCCAATTTCCAAATTACATATTTTGAGCTTGAGGTTTGATCATCTCCGTTGGTTACCAACTCAAAACCAAATCAACAACTCTAGAGCTAGAAAGGTAAAAGCAGCACTTGACACTCTTCTCAACCACAGCTAGTGGCTTCCCAGGAAAATAGGCAACCACAAGCCAAACAATAATCTATCGACATGAGGCTTTTGCGGAAATGGGTTGAGAAACGCAAAGCTAGAAAGCTAATTTATTCTCTTAGAGCTGCCAAGGGTCAGTGGGTTAACACTTTCCAACAATTGTGCTCTAGTTCTCATCATGCATTTCTCTATAAATACAAGAGTACGTGAACTGGAGCAAGGACAACCAAAAATCAAATCAACACAATCAAATCAAACCAACAAAAGCCAACAACCAAGAATTCTCAGTCAAACTGACAAAAATCAAGTAAGATCATTAGATCTCAAAAGCCTTCAAACTCAAAAGCAATTAAGCTATCTAGCTTACAAAAGCCATCCAGCTCTGAACAAAACAAGTTCTAACTTCAATCCAGCTCAGAGAAGCAGCTCACCAACAGGAAAAACGAGATTTCTCTCGTTGCAAATACGATTCAGCTCAAAAGAATCAAGCAAAACTAAGCTTTATGTCGTTACAAATTCGGTTCAGAACAGGCAAACCAGGCAGAACTCATGTTGTTCATCATATGAAAACCTCAACAAATGCTCATAAACACCTTGATGTCTTAAGCTCACTAAAATAGCTCACAGGTGATCCCCAGTCAAGCAGAACAGGTACTGAAGTGCAATTACAGGCCAACAGTTGCAAATCCAGCTACTTTCAATCAAATCCAGGCTGAAGAAACCCCAGTACTACCACAACAAAGACACTAGGATGTCTTAATCTCATACAGATAGACTCCAAAACAGGCAGAATAGACGCAAACTCCCAGCTCTGCCCACTTGACAAGCCTCTCCATGGCTCAAACTGATTTAGCTTTGCTAATTTCAACATTTGTATCGATTTCCAGCTAATCTCTATTAGTTGAAGGTGTTGACGTGCTATTCCAGTACAGATACATCCAATCCAGCCTGAGTCACAGACGACAGTCCCAACAGAAATTGAAGTCCAATGTTCTGATGTCTTCCCAGACTTGGCAGTTCCTTTTATTTAATGTATAATAAGCAATTCTCCTCGAACTCATTTGTCTTATTTTCAAACACTTATTTTTCGGCTAAACTTACTAGTTTTTACTGTGGAAAATTATAAATTCCTCACCTATCTGAGGAAAGAAAAGAACTTTCTTGGGAGATATTCCTCACCCAAATTCACAATCACTTTATCAAAGTCAATAGCTTGGGGCACAAGTTATTACATTCTACAGTCTGTTAGCGTTTTTAACCACTAATAGTGGCACGCTCGCACATAAAAGAAAGTTGACTTGTTGACCACCAATGGTTTTCAGGTCAATGAGGAACTATACCCTACCACCACAGGAACTACATCAAAACAGGTAAACATACCCAGAAAAAAGAAAAGGAACCCATAAAACTATCATAAGATGATAGAACATATTTGGAGGGCAATAAGTTCAATGCAAAAATGAGAAATAAATAAAGAAAATCATAAGGATTTACAAGAATCAAGCTTTGAATTGAATGAGCTAGCAAATTTACTCCCACACCAGCTTACAAAATTAAAGATTTTGATGCAAACCCAAAATCTAAATAGAGGGCACGAATTCAAGTTAAAAGAGAAACTTGGTTTAGGATTGGTATTGGGATGTTGTTTGATAGAGGGTATTAGGGTGTACCAGGGTATTTTTGGTAGTTAAATAAGGTGTACTTGGTTAATTTTACATTTTGATTAAAATATTATGGTATATTTAGATCGTAGGGTGTACTCAGTTAATTTTAAGATTCGTTTAGCAGCACTCTACAATTATTATAACAACAAGAGATGAACATTTGCTAAAAGGCTTAAAGTGGACCCGATATATCATGATTCAGCCCCATGCAATGAATGAAAAAGAATCTCTCGAGCTTTTTAGTTGGCACGCCTTCAAAAATTATTGTCCTGTTATAAAACTAGAAGGGGAAAATGTAGAGAGAAGTGATATGCTAAAGATAAAGTTTCACCATGTTTATTCTTCTCTTAATCTTTGGTAGAACCACCTATTTATAGGCTTACAAGATAGAAGATTGAATACTATCATTTACAATATACTTAAAGGTTACAAGCATTAATTACAAATACTTAGTGCATAGGTTACATAAAATCCAACGGTGGAATACTAAGAGGTATGGTGGTCATCTACCAACTCACGCATTTATAACACTCCCCCTTGGATGTCCACCATACAATGACATAGTTCCCTCATTAAAAACCTGGCTTGGAAAACCTAGTGAGACAAAACCAAAGGGAAGGGAAAAGAGTGAAACTTTCTTCTGGATCATTGATATGGTGTTGGATATGCTTATGTTGCCTCGTTAAAACCTTGCTAGGAAAAACCCAGTTGGACAAAAACCTAGTCGAAGGGAAAAGGAGTACAACGCGCATATGTCTTGTATGTAGTGGAATTGGGATGCTCCCCCTGATTGATATCTCCCCCTAATTAATATCTCCCCTTCTCTAGTTTGAGCAATAAAGCAACATTGTCTTCATACATGATCGTCTATCACACTATTCAACCTGTTTTTCAATTTTCAAATTATTGAAATCTTTAGGAGCATCAACAACTAATTTAATAGTTAGAATATGTTACAACAATATCAAATTTGAATTCAAAATACACAAACTCTTAGTGTTAACTCTTAATTAAGAATATTGTGGTACTTTATATCCTTCAAGGGGTCACTTTATTCGATATATCTCAAATATTTCATGAGCTTTGAGGATTTCCATGTACCATATAGTCTTAATAAATTTGCATTTAACACATGCTATAAGTTTTGTGTTAAAATAACAACTGCACTTATAGAAATGTGGATGCATCTACGATGAGATGGAAGACTAAAACCATGTCTCTACCAAGAAACCTTATGTCATATTAGTGATCTTATTTCACTTCACAAACACCAATTCGTAACCTTCATGCTTAACATTTGTAATTCGGTGTTTGAGCTATAGGTTCAATATCCCACACTTCATATTTAGTGATAAATGGAATTGCCTATTTCCATTTTGGCCAATCACTTAACTTGTCGACATTCATAAGGCGATTTAATATAATCATAGCCCTTGATGATTGTAGTAGCTACTAATAAACCAAATGTATCATCAATTCGCACAATTCTCATGTGCATGCGCATGCATAATTTGTAAACATCTCATTGCTTTGGGGTACCAATGCCTCTTCAGGGGCTGATGTTGTCACTTATGGGATAAACATCTCTTTTACGATGAATTAATTAGAATATGTGGATCATAACCTCATATAGAGCGTTATTTTTTATAGGGCCTGAATTTTTCAAATAATCTCCACTTCTAGGGAGTTAAGTTTTTAAAACCTATATTTTTGTCATGCTCATAGTCACTTATTGTCATGTTAATGGATTGTGATACATGAATATCAATCCATGCTTGCATATGCATTATCTCGATGAGACAAAAGTAGACTGATTCAACACACTATTTCACGACGTTCTTCAGGAATTCTCCCCCTAACGGCGGAAAAATTGTCTCAAAATGTAGGATGTGTATAGTATCCGGGCAGAGAATCATTTAAAAGGCAAGCGGCTAGGTTTGTTTGATGACGAACCTCAACAGGATGATACGG